TTTTAAAAAATGTATTAATAATGAAAATTATATTTAAAAGTGTTTGTGCACACATATTTCCTCCATCAAGAGCGCTATGCTAAACCCTTACCAGTGTACCTCTGACACCAAAACATATAGTTGGAGATGGTGGTATCTTAACTCTGATAAGCCAATAAAAAGTAATAGGATTAAGTTGTTTTAAATCACATTTTGAAGATAAAATTTCAATAGCTTTTGATATATATCTCAAGTTTGCTCCTCACAACAACTTTGAGAAGAGTTGTTAGGGTAAACGTGACATTAAACCCATTTTACAAATAGGGAAACTGAGACTTTTGAAGGTTACATGATTTGTCCAGTGTCATACAGTTAGTCTGGGTTAAGGTAGGATCTGAATGTCAAATTCTTTATCATTAGGCCAGTGCAGTTACTCTTGTACTATCAAAGAGGCATGAGGATTCCCTTAGAAGATTAACAGAAAAAATGCCAAAAAGATTAAAGGAACATAATGCTGTGTTCAAAGAGTTAGATAAGCGGAACTGTAACTTCAAAGAGTTATCAGATTGAATCAGTCTCAAAAGTTTAAATGAATTGGATACATTTACATCCGAATTCTACCCTTATTAATTGTATGACCTTAGCAAAGTTGCAATCTCCAGAGATTGTCGCTCATTCCTAACATTAGAGGATTGTATTAGATAATGGCTAAGTTGTCTTCTAGCTCTAAAGCCATTTTTCTATGATAAAAATACTTTGCATGATATGTAGAATGTTATGGTTAACAATGACGCATGGATTTGTCATACCCAGGAAGATCACAATCCCAAGTTGATATAAGCTCTTTAACTAGGGATAAATTGTTTCATTTTTTTTCCCTTTGTAAATTCCCACAGCCTTCCAGTGTTCCCACCTGAGTTTTTGTATACCTGTTTTGAATTGTTAAATCTACTAAGAATGCATGATACAAACAAAAATAGCTAATAAAAAATGGTACAGTGCAAATACATCAAATTGGTGCAAGCCAAGTGCTATGAAACTATGTAGGAAGTCTATGAAGAATAGAGGACGGAAGTAAGTTTAAGGATTTAAAAATAGTTTTATCTTACAAAAGTTATGCCCATACTAACAGAGTTAAGTGGAATATCCAAATAATTTTTCCAGATACTTCAAATCAAAAGATTTTTGCTGAAACACAGTCAATATGTTTTTTCTCTAGTTAAATAATCCGGATAATTGTCTGTATTGATCACTTCACTTTTTATTTGAGATACAAAAAGAGTTCAATATTTCTGAAGCACTTTTCTGACATATTGTCATCTATAATAAAAATTGCTTAGTGCCAAGAAATTTGAACTACAGGAGGAACTTTACTTCTCAAATTCTTAATTTGAGTTATGACACCATTGCAATATGTTCCCTTAAATATATCACTGTTCTAATCTTTCAAAGTGTCGTTCATTAATTGTCAACTCTGATGTTTTAGTATCACTAATTTAGGGGTTGTTACCATAAAGAATATGATATTTTGAAATTGTTAATTGTATTTCAATAAAATTGCTTTCTTTTGAAATTATATGTAGTTTATGCATTTTAAAACATTATTCTAAAAAGTCTGCCACAAGCTTTTCCAGACTGCCAGGAGGTCTGTCCATCCATTTCTCTCAATCTCTCTCTCTCTGTCTCTCTCTGTCTTTCTCTCTCTCTCTCTCTCTCTCTCTCACTCACACACACACACACACACACACACACACACACACACACACACACACAAACTCGCACACCCCCCTTAAGTACTCTTGCTTTATATAGAGTGCCATTGCTTAGTTTTAGATTTTAATTATTTATCATTTGATAATAATATTTTGTTTATTGGTAACTTTCACCTATGACAATAATGAAAACTACAATCCATTTGAAATTGCACTGAATTTTCAAACTGCATTCATTGACATTATCTTATGATATTCTCACAATATAGGTTATCATGTACTCATTACTTTTTTGTAATCAGTCTGGCAAAATTTGGAACTCAATATATGTTAAATGAAAACAACCCAGTAAAACTGGGAGCTGAAATCAAACATCAATAACTCCTGAAGGATTGTGTTCACTTCTTGTTACAGTTCTTGCCATTTTCTACTTAAACAGGAACATTTCTTGCTATGCTTGTTTCAAAAGTAGAATACCACTTAAATTATGCTTCTGTCCCATTCTACTTTCAGGAATTAATGAATGAAGCTTTTATGGTGGTGGCTTGTTGGTGTCCAGTCATTCAGTCACATCCAGCTTTTTGCATCCCCATGGACCATAGCATGGCAGACCCTTCTATTCTTCACTATCTCTTGAAGTCTGTCCCAAGTTCATGTTTGTTGTTTCCATCACACAATCCATCTTCTCCTCTGTTATCCTTTTTTCATTTTACTTTCAATCTTTTCCAACATGGGGGTCTTTTCCAATGAGTCCCATCTTCTCATTATATGGCCAAAGTATTTAAACTTCAGCTTCAGTATTTGACCTTCCAGTGAGTAGCTTGAATTATTTTCTTTAATTATTGCCTAATTTGATCTTCTTACTGTCCAAAGGACACTCAAAAGTCTTCTCCACCATTCCAATTTGAAGATACAGATTCTGTGTCACGCAGCTTTCCTTGTAGTCCAAATCTCACAATGACACAGAGCTACAGGAAAAAACAAAAACAAACAAACAAACAAACAAAACAAAAACTATAGTTTTGACTATACAGATGTTTGTTAGCAAGGTGATATCTGTGCTTTTTAGTATTGTGTCCAGAAGACTGGCTTCATGACTGCAGTCACCATCTGCAGTGATCTTTGAGCCCAAGAATATAAAATCTGACACTATTTCCACTTTTTCTCCATCTATTTGCCAGGAACTGATGGGACAAATTCCCAAGGTCTTAGGTTTTTTGATGTTATGCTTCAAGCCAGCTCTGACATTTTCTTCTTTCCCCTCATCAAGAGGCTTCTTTTTATTTATTTTTTATCTTATAGAATAAAACAAGCTTCTTAATACCTCTTTGTTTCATGCCATCAGAGTAATATCATCTGCATATCTGAGATTGTTGATATTTCTCCCAGCAACCTTCATCCAGTCTGGCATTTCACATGATGTAATCTGCATATAAGTGAAATAAATAAAACAGCCATGTTATACTCCTTTTCCAATTTTAAACCAGTCAGTTCTTCCATGTTTGGTCCTAACCTTGCATTGTGGTGACAAATGGGACACTACTTTTGACATGGACTAGTGAGGTCAGAGAGGGGAAGTTTAGTAGTGCTGATCAGAGACATGTTGTTATTATATGCATTTTACACATAATGGAGTAAAGTCCAAAAAGTTAAGATACTTCCCAAATTCACATACACTGTCAAAGTTAAAGTAAAGCGTTTTGGTCAGGCATGAGGAAGTGCTCTTTTGCTATTTGAAGTCAGATAACCTGTATTCCAATCCTGGCTTGACTAAGTAGCTACTTCTATGAAATCTGTAAACCTCACTTGTTCTCAAGTTTAAAAAGAAATCAGAGGATTGGTCTACATCATCTCTGAGATCCCTTGCAGCTCTTGATTCTATTACTATTAGCTCAGGTACTCCATTTTTTGTTTGTTTGGGGAGGGGAGGGTTGTGCCTATTGTTACTGTGGTTATTTATACTATGTAATGTTGCTTTGCTTGTTTCGTTAGAAGGGAAAGTTAAACTCCTGATTTTTTTCTTCTCAAAACAAAATATCTCTTATAAAAATATAAGCATAAAAAGTAATAATATGCTCTGCAGAAAGATTACATGAGGTTAAGTTACTTATTTAAAGAAGGAACTCAGAGGAAAATAATGTTTTTGAACAGCCCCTGACTACTTACTGCCATTTGCTTTTTCTTAATTCTAGGGTAACATACCTAAGCTTCCTTTCACTTAGTAAGTTTGGTTTTGGGGGGCTCACTACCCACCGATTTAGCTTTAAATTGCTTCCCAGTGTCTCAGCTTTTGCTGCTAAATGGCTTGCAGCCTTGGAGTTATGTTGGTGCTGCTTCCCAAATAGCTGCTATTGCTGATAAAATAAGACAATTTTTCTAACTGTACTTCACTCCATTCTATGAAAAAGTGAGTTTCAAAGACACTACCATGGTGACTATCCTTTTTATTTCAGTCCTGTTTCAATCAAAGAGTCATCAGTATGAAGTGGATTTTTGTTTTCCCTGTCTTTTGGTAGTATAAGATGTATTACCTACTATCCCTGAGTTCTGGCTCTTGTCAGCTTGCCTCTCTATTCAGGGCTTTTAAATATGCGATATGACTATTCACTGACCCCTTTTACTTTCTATAAAGCCAGCTACAACTGACAGCAATTGGCTTTCTAAAGTGATTAAAACTCCAGCACAAATTTTAAGAAATTTCAGAACAATTTGGCTTTTCAAAAACTCCAACTAATAGATTTTTTTTTTCTAGTTCCACACTATCGATTTATACTAATATTTATTTTGGTATCTCTCCCTTTCTCCTTTACAAAGAACCATCTCTTAAAATGAAGATTTTTTTAAAGGGAAAATTTGTAAAGGCAATCAACAAATCAAAGAAGTCTTACTTTTCTGCTATATCCAACACCCAAAGAATTCTGCCCTTATAAAGGACTGTAGGAGGTTCCTTTTCATATATCTTTGGGGTTAAATTTCACTATTACAATTTCCCAAACTTCAGTTTTGATTATTTTTGATTATTGCACTTCTGTTTATAGTTTTAGTGATATTGTTTAATATATCAATTTTTAAATGTGTGTGTATGTGTGTTGGTGGATAATACAGGCACGGAAATCACCAACTTATTTTCTTTGAGACTCACATTTTTGTAGAATGGTGGAAAGTACAGAGAAAAAAAATCATTTTTATTGGCAATAGCAGCTAATTGGGAGGTGGCATCAATGTAAACCTAGCATGTACACATACACACATTGTTAATATGTGCTCTCTCATGACTGTATCATACGTTAGAACTTCCTTTCTTCACAGGGAAGCAGAACAATGGAGTTATACAACAACAGCCAATTAGAAGGATATCTGAGGCTCAGAGATGCTTGACATGGTGAACTCTAGCTGAATTTGGAAATTCCTGTAGTTACCAGAAACCACAGAACCAGACTTGATCAGCTCACAGGCAATCTTGAGCAGAAGCTGCAGACTCAAACCTTTCTCAGGAGTTTCTAAACATCCTGCTGCCTGGTTTATTGTGTCTACAGATGTTTTCTCCCTGAAACTCTCACTCTCTGCCTTAAAATCTCTAGAAACTATATTATCTCACCCCTTTTTCTACTACCCTTTGAGCAGCTGAGAACTCTTTCTCCCTTCCTGCTTCTTCATATGATCTTCTCTCCCCTGAAAGCCTTTTCTCAGACAATAAATGCTTTTAATTGGTGTATTGATGTCTTTCATTTCTGGTCCCTTTGTGGGCCTTGGATTCTATTGTTAACAGCATATACACATACATAATCACAACATAGAATTTATTAAGCACCTAGTATGTTCTAGGCACTACATCAAGTTCTAAGGATATGAAAATGAATAAAAGACAGTCTCTACTGTCAAGGAGCTTGCAATCTAATGGGGGAGATAAAAATGCAAAATATAGTAGTTAGAGCAAAAGAGGAATAGTTTTCAGGCATGGAGGGCAGCCAAAGAAAATGTCTAGAGTATAGAAATAAGAGTGTCTTATTCATGGAACCACTAAGAGACCAGTGTCATTGGATCAAGGAGTAAATATCAGGGAATCAGATATAGGAAAATTGGTAAGGTAGGAGTGTGTTAGGTTATAAAGGGCTTTGAGTACCAGAATAGGGAATTTTCTATTTGCTACTAGAGGCAATAGGTACTTACTAGAGTTTATTGAATGGTGAGGAAGAGAGGTAACTTGATTAGACTTGCATTTTTAAAAAATCACTTTAGTGGCTCAAAGGGGGATGGATTGGAATGGGGAAGCAGGCAGACCAATCTGCAGGCTATTGCAAAAATCCAGACATGAGTTGATGAGGTCATTCACTAGAGTGTTGATAATGGTAGAGGAGAGAAGGGGGTTTATTATGCAAGAAATGTTTCAAAAGGGAAATCAACAAGCATTGGCAATAGTTTTGTGTATGTGAGGTTGAGAGATATTGAGGAATTAAGGATGACTCTCAGATTGTAAGCCTGAGTGACTGAGAGAATGGTGTTGCCCTCTACAATACTAAGGAGAGTGTATGATGAGGGTGGAGCAGGGGGGAGGTTTAGGAAGAAAGATAATGAGTTGAAATTTAGATATATTAAATTTAAGAGGTCCGAAAAACATTCAGTTCAAGATGCATGAAAGACAGTTGGAGATGTGGGATCTCAGATCAGCAGAGAGATTAAATCAAAAAGGTAGATTTGAGAATCAGCAGCATAGAGATACTAATTAAATGCATGGGAACTCATGAGATCACCAAGTGAAGTAATATAGAGGAAGAAAGGATTGCTCAGGACACAGCTCTGAGCTATAGTTAGAGGGTATAACCTGGAGAAGGATACATCAAAGAAGACAGAAGGAAGTCAGATAGGTAGGAGGAAAAGCCGGAGAGAGTGGTGTCCCAAAATCCTAGAGAGAAGAAAGTATCAAGGAGGAGAGATCAATCTACAGTGTCAAAGGCTTTGGAGGTCAAGGAGAAGGAGGGTTGAGAAAAATCCACTGCACATGGCAACAGAGATCATTAATAATGCTAAAAAAAAATAGTCTCATTGGAATGACAAGGTTGGAAGTCAGATTATAAATGGCTAAGAGAGTGAAGGGAGAGAACGTTGAAGTATCTATTCATAGATGTCCTTTTCAAGGAGTTGAGCTGCAAAAGGCCTTTTTTCTTCTTCTTAACTAGTAAAACAGTCTATGTAATAAATGCTAAAAGCGGGAGGGGTGGGCAGCTATACAAACCAACACATCTGTCTTATCTAACATTGTGATGTCTTTTGACTCACGCATAAATTGTATTTAAGTGAGGCACGGTTGTGTGAAGTTGTCAGTCTCATTCTCTTCTGGAGTCATAAAAGTCCAGTGGCAAGGCAAAAGTCAAGACAAGACAACTGGCAATGGCTTCAGATGCAGTGGATGACTTTTGTGTCTTTTATGGCTAACCACTCTCTCAGAAATCTACAGCACCTGCTTCAGTCATCCTCGTGGACTTTGGAACAAACTGTTTTCATCTGTCGGTTCCACCAGAACAAGTCTTCATATATGCTTAAGGGAGGCACCTACCTCCATAACTCACCAATGGGTTTGAGACCCTTCATTTGCCCTCAACCTGGTTTATCTTGTCTGCTGAAATAGTTTACTAGGGTGTGGCCACTGTGTATGCTACAGCTTCTCCGAACCACAGGTGAGAATTGGATGAATTAGGTGTACACCAAATGTGGAAAGAAGAATTGAAAAGTGCTCGGCAGCCCTCACACAAAGAGGTACTAGTTTCCCCTGAACATCTAACAGTGTATATCACATCCTGATCCTAAAATCCCCTTCTATTGCAAGGTAGTTTGTGTATACATATTTGGGGATTTAGGGTGGAGGAAGGGAAGGAAGTGCTTGGTGCATTAATTCTTCTTCCACAGTCGAGCTTGGTCATTGCAATTGCATAACATTCAGTTTCATTTTTTTTCCCTTTATTTTTACATTTTTTTGTACATGTATTTGTTTTCCTCAGTTCCACTCAACTCTATCATTTCATATGCATATTTTTTTCTGAATAACATAATTTTCATTTCTTGTTAACAATTGTATTATATTACATTTATGTACTATAATTTGTCTAGCCATTCCCTAATCAGCAAGTGCCTATGAACAGACTTCTTAAAATTACATATTTTTTTTTATATCATCAACATTTCTCAGAGGACCATCCTCTGAGACCTTTTATTTTTTTAAATTTATTTGGTATTTTATTTTCGCCAATTACATGTAAAAACAACTTTTAACATTCGTTTTAAAACTTTGAGTTCCAGATTCTCTCCCTTCCTCCCTCTCTACCACCTGTTGGGAAGGCAAGCAATGTGATAGCAATTATACATGAGTAGTCATGTGAAGCATATATCCATATCAGTCATATTGTGAAAGAAAATATAACCCCCCCAAAAAAGAAAGAAAAATGAAGTTGTTGTTGTTCTTGTTGTTTTGTTTTAAAGTATGCTTCAATATGTATTCAGACACCATCAGTTCTTTGTCCGGGGAGGGATAGCAGTTTTTCTTTATGAGTCCTTCAGAGTTGTCTGGATCATTACATTGCTGAGAATAGCTAAGTCTTTCACAGGTGATCATCACACAATATTGCTGTTACTTTGTACACATTATATTTCACACTGTAAATCTTAGCAATTTTTTTTTTCTGAGAACATCCTGCTTGTCATTTCTTATAGCATAACAGTATTTCATTACAATCATATAGCAAAATTTGTTCAGCCATTCCCCAATTGATGAGCATCTAAAAATTTCCAACTCCCTGCCCCTAGAAAAGGGCTATTATAAATATTTTCATACATAAAGTTTCTTTTCTTTTTTTTTAATCTCTTTTGCAACACAAATCTGGTAGTGGCACTGCTAGGTCAAAGGGTATCCATGATTTTATAGCCCTTTGGGTATAGTTCCAAATTGCTCTACAGAATGGTTGAATCAGTTCAAAACTCCACCAACAGTACATTAATGTCTCATTTTTCCCACATGCCCTCCAACATTTGTTATTCTCATTTTCTGTCCTATTGGCCAACCTAATACATATGAGGTAGTACCTCAGAATTGTTTTGATTTGCATTTCTCTAATCTATACAATTTAGAGCACCTTCTCATATGGGTATAAATAGCTTCGATTACTTCATTTGATAAGTGTTCAAAACTCATGATCATTTATCAATTGGGGAATAGCTCATTTTTTTTGTAAATTTGACAGTTCTCTACATATTTGACAAATGAGGCTTTTATCTGAGAAATATGCTTTAATTTTTCCCAGTTATGATTGCTAAATGTATTTCCCTCCATTCTATTCCCCACCCTGTTCATAATGGTCTCTTTCTCCTTTCACCATGACCCTCCTTAAAAGTGTTTTCTTTCTGACTACCACCTTCCCCAATCTGACTTCCCTTCTATCACCCTCCCTTGTCTTATCCCTTTCCCCTGCTACTTTCCCAGTAGGGTAAGATAGATTTCTATACCCAATTCAGTATATATGTTATTCCCTTTGAGCCAATTCTGATGAAAGTAAGGTTCACTCCCTCCCCCCCAAATTCCCCATCTTTGCCTCCACTCTAAAAATAAAATCATTAGTTTCCATTTACTCCATTTTAATTTTTAAGGAATTATTTTCTTCATTTAGCTTTTGTACCTCCTTTTCCATTTGGTAAATTCTGTTTTTCAAGCAGTTTTTTTTTCCATGAAATTTTGTGCCTCTCTTTCCATTTGGCCATTTCTGCTCTTCACGGTATTCTTCTTATTGTCTTTTTGTACTTTTGCCTTTAGGCCCATTCTCTTTCTTAAGGTGTTATTTTCTTCAGTATTTTTTTTCTGCGTCCTTTACCAAGATATTGACTCCTTTTTTTTTTATATTTTCCTGCATCACTCTCATTTCTCTTCCTGATTTTTCTTCTATCTCCCTTACTTTATTTTCAAAATCCTTTTTGAGCTCTTCCATGGCCTGAGACCAATTCCTATTTTTTTCTTGGAGGGTTAGGATATAGGGGCTTTGACTTTGTTATCTTCTTCTGAGTCTGTGTTTCAATTTTCCTTTTCACTGTAGAACCTTTCTATGGTCAGAATTTTTTATGTTACTCATTTTTCCAGTCTGTTTCTTGACTTTTAACTCTTTATTAAAGTAGAGCTGTACTTCCAGGGTGGAGGGCTCACTGTCCCAAGCTTCAGGAGATTCGTGCAGGTGTTTGCAGTGATATTTCTAAGGACCTGTACGTTTTCAGCTTTCCCAAGGTGGTATGGTCTAAGAAGAGGTGCATTTACTACTCTACTGGCCTGTGCTCTGGTCTTTGAATGACCAGAGTCACTCTTTCTAACCTGGAACTCTGAGGAGAGTCCCAGTTCCACTTAGGCTGAAAGCTCTGGTGTGCTAGTGCTCATCCTCACACTGGGACTAAGACACAGAACTGTGACCCTAATCTGAGTATGGGCAAAGCAACGGAATGCTGTGATAGCACAGAAACCCCTATTATATACTTCTAATCAGTTGTTCAACACCTTTACTGTCTCTGGGAAGAGAGCTCTAGACTTCCACTACTGATTCAGTGGTTCCCAAGACCTGCTCCTGGTTTGCTGGTTTGGCTTATACTGGACTGTGCTCTACTCTCACCCAGGTGCAACACACTTTTTCTGCTGACCTTCTAAGTTGTCTTTGGCTAG